AAGAGTCCCCACCGCCGGGAATTTGCCATCCAAGGCAAAAAAAATGGTAATGTCCGGGGGGCTGGGCGCAGCTGAAATTTACTGACGCATAAGGTCGATAGTTTCATGTAGTGTGCAAAAGAAATGTCTGCAACGCTTTGTGGTAATAAAAAGTGATGCAAATTATAAAGCTTTGAAAAACTAAGAAAACTTTCCAACACGAAACAGAAACTTTATTATAGGCACTTATTCATGCAAAGGCAAATTTGCTTAATTACGTCAGCACGATTAACACATTGTTTTAAAAGCAGCCGTTAGGGGCAGTTGACACTTCCGAAGCTTCAGATGACGGATCACCGATAATTGATAGAGGAAAAGCACACAACTTGAAGCACTGAACTGAACCGTTTTCACTGAATCGAATGGCAAGAGGTAACTTTCTCGTTGCATGCATATTTCTGCTCTTCCTAAATGGTGAGTATTAAGTGGCATATCGTGCCACAATCATCTACTTCATGGTGACAGCAAGACACAGCAATTGCATAATGTTATGCTTTATCGCTCTTTTACTTTAATTTTATATCTTTGGCACGGTTACGTCCGCCACATCTTAAAAAAAAATCGCAAGCTGCTGCAATGAATACTACTTCTTCTCCGTATTTCATATTAAAGTTTGTTAAAACAAATTCCGTTTCGCCCCAATTCAGTGTAAAGAATATGTTTTAACTCACAAACTGACTCTAGTGTAAAACATGCAGTTGAATCTGATTAAATAATGCGTCTCATTAATTACAAATTTCAAACGCACTCGTTGTTAATGTGTCTGAGTGGTCAATACAGTATTTAACTTGGCAGTATACAGGATAGGTAACACGTACAATGCTAAAAATGAGTTGTACCTCACACACGTTTACTATTAAGGAACTATTTACCACATGAATATCTCAATGCTTTTGGACAAAATTTTTTAGAAAGCGCACAAAAGGAAATTGGGCTCCGGGCATATATAAGGGCGAAAAAGATGCCAGTTATATTACTCTTTCGCTTTAAGTATTTGACTGGTAATTCTTCTTCCTTTTGACCAACACCAGTTTTTCCCATCAGTTGTCAATCCTACCTCTATGTCAAACGTCCTTTAACTTAATGGGTCGTTCCACTGAGTCTGGGCAATTTTACCGAACCGAGACAAACCGAATGCGACATTATATTTAAAAGAGACAATCCAGATCATCAGCTTAACATAGACTTTCATAATTTGTTTTGCGATAGCTTAAAAACTACTTTGCTCTTTAAAGGAGTAAGAAAAACATATATGAACAAACTTTCTTTAACGTCCATGGCAACCGAAAATATCACGTTTTAACTTTGTTCACAAGATGTTTTTAAAGACGTCACAACCGAAACTTTCAGCGCAAGTAATTTCTTTATTTTAATCATTTCAATCTCCTGAACCTTTCGAACTTAACAACTAAGAACTTAAATTTCACTTGAAATTATCTTCCCCTGTATGCATGACGTTTGTGTGATTGCGTCAGAAGAATTTCACATTGAACTGAATTAAGCAAATTACAATACTTTTCAATACTACTTCAATCTTAAGTTAAATCGCAGACCAGTGACCCTTTACTGTCGCTAACTGTGTAACAAGCTAGTGTATTGGAAAAGTAAACTAACAGCTTTTCAAGACTTTCATGGTAGGTAAACTTCACTTTCTAGTTGTAAATAAGATAAATGAGTCCTTAGAATCTGAGCTGGGGCGAAAACGGTTTATACAAGCAAGAACTCCTCAGGCTGAGCTGGTTATTTTGTGATGTGATGCCAGTACGAACTTCACGCTGGAACGAAACTCATTCCGAAGTGAAATTCGTTCCTGTGTCAAGTAAATAGCCCATTGGTCTTGTCGAACCCCTCTCTGCACGCTATATCATCGAAAACAAGAATAGCCTTTTAAAGCGTCAAAGGTGATCATTACTTCTTTGGCACGATGTCCAACTTAAGAATCGATATATATCAGCGCGTCAGCTTATCAATTAACTGTATCTCAGTAAGTTTGCTAAATTCTGACCAGGTAATTGTTTTCTCCCTAACAAATTCTTGTCGAAATGTAATATGGCATTTATTGGTCATTTGAAACCGTTTGTTTTCTACCGTTGCACCGTTAAAAAATAAAAACGTATATGCTGCCATAAGTAGACAACTCTCATTCCACCTGCTAAGATTCAATGAAATGTCATGAGTGGTTAGCAGATGGCGTGCTGCAGATATGTTCTGACTTTTTTACTACCCCTTTAGATTACATCTTTTAAAATTCAAATGAAAATTAGCAAAAGAAGACTATCTCGTTTCTTTTACTTTCTTTCGTGTTTTTTTAGGAGTTCTTTGCCCCTTATTTTGAGAGGCAACACCGCATCTAATTTACAGTGCAGCAGCAAAATTTAGGCTTATATTTTCCTTTGAAATAAATACAATAACATAACTACATCTTTGTGGTGAATAGCGAGAAGCAACTTAAAGCTATAAATATGGAAATCTGTATATCTTCTCGTTGTATTATTCACATGTAATATAGTAAGCATCTGAGTGAAGCCAACACTTTGAAAAATCGAGTTCTAACATGAAAATTCAATAATCATCAATGTAAACTTTGCAATTACTTTCTCTTTTGCAATGAACTAGCGCCATGGTAACAAGATGAATGTCCGTAACTTCCTATGTATATTTGTTACATGTATATTCCTGTGGACCGCTGGTGAGTAAAATACACTAAATGCTCTATCCTTATTCAACGCTTGAAAGCTGATTCTGTTTATATTTCAGTCTTTTCATTCTATTCATTCCTTTTTTGTTGGCGACATGACAAAATCTTATAGCACAGCATATAGCGCCGAAGACATGCCATGAAACAAAGAGACTGTGGATAACTGCATGGTTGGTGCACACCTCTACATCCAAGAGGCCTACTTGCCAAAACCTAGCATTTCAGGGCAAATTGTCTCTGAGATATTAGCTCAGTTAT